CTGCAGGACTGGTGGTCAGCAAAGTCAGGAGGAAGGGGTGTGGTAGCAGCTGGCAGGGGAGAGAAATGGAAGAGGATGCAGATCTTTTCTTCCCCAAGCCGATGCCCCCATGCAGAAAAGGACAACTACCTAATGTTTCCGAGCACAGAGGCCATCTACGTGGGTCATTTTTGTCTACTGAAAAACTATTATGTAATAAAGACAACTTAAAGGATTTAGGTAAAGAAAGAAAGATATAAAAATTCAGCTAGATGATGTGTTCCTTTAAAATGCTGTTTACAGAGAAATATAAATGTCCTTGTGTCAGTCCCTGATTAAACCCCTTTGGTGATCTCCTTTCGTCTTCAGGGTCATTTGTAAACTGACCACTGGAACTCCCCACAATCTGGCCCTGGCTCTCTGTTTTACTTTGCTTTCCTGTAACTGATATAAAATGCTGACTAAAATAAAATAATAAAATAAAATAAAATAAAATAAAATAAAATAAAATAAAAAATAAATAAATAAAATAAAATGCTGTTTACAGACTATTCCACTTAAAAACAACTCTAAGTAGTGTTAAGTCAAATATGTACAAGCTATATATTTAGGAATGAAGATCCAGTTAATTGGGCCAAGAATCCATTCTATTGTGATACATACAAACAAGCTGCCCTCATCTCAAAATACTTTATTTCCCCTGCTCTCCAGAACGCTTGTATAGAGAGATATTTCATGGAAGAATGGGAGGGCTGGAGGGTTTTTGTTTTTTTAACTGTTTTCTTAAGAACAGAAAAAGAAACAAAGGCAAAATGTTCTAGACTTGGCTTTGAGAGAGAGCTACAGGGAGGAACAAGCTGCCTCTCTGTGAAACTCTTTTTGTCTTGGCATTTCCCATAGTTCCCTAGTTTTCTACTTCTGATCCCCTCACACCTGGCAAGACCCTAGCAGATACCTGGGCTAGTCAACAGGCACAGTAGGGTGTCAGGGAACACTGTCCAAAGGCAGGTCCCCTGAAGTGCTGGGCAACCCACCTGCCTGGCGCACCCTTTCCTCAGCAGTGTGAGTGCAGGTCCACTAAAGGGAAACAGTCCCTCCCAGACCATCCTGAGTCCCCATTAGCTGAAGTCATCACAGGAAGAGAAGGTGAAGTCTGTCAGCTGCTGGGACAGACATTTGTCATACGCTACTGTCTAATTTGGTATAATACACCACTGTCCATTCTAAAGACAAGACTTTGTCTGAGATCACTATATGTTCTTGAACCCTACTGAATTTCCACAAATAACTTAGTATCTCCCTAAAACCTGCCTGCACTTCCCATTGTCTCTTTCCCAAGAACGGTGTAAGCATACGTTTCTACGTAGTGTTAGCGTGTGATAATCACACTACTGTGACTGTCCTCCATGCTGTGATGCCCCTCTTTTGCATGTTCCCAATCTTCTATACCCTTTCTCTAAATTAATTTTTCCAGTTTATCCCAGAAAACCTTCAGACAGCAGGGGGGGAAGTCACCTTCAAACCTGTAAAAGGAGTTTTAAAAGGGTAAAATGCAATAGTAGGATAGTCACCAGAGATGAACTGAACTAGCCTAAACTGTCAATCTCTCACCTTTGTGGCCAGAGGCACTTGGAAAAATATATGGAAAATCCTACTGCCAAAGACTTGCTAGCATTCACTTTGGGCATAGTAAGAGATCAAGGGGCACTCAAATCTGGAAGCTTCGTCCTTGCTGCCTAGTTTTCACAGTACCGGAAGTTGCTATGCTGGATCCAAATCTCTCACCCTGAAAAATAATCAATTCAAAGTAGACCAAAGAAGTTCATTTAAAACCTGAAACACTGACATTGCAAGAAAAACATACTTTAGATACACAGTACAGGCAAGAACGTTTTACATGAAGTCATAGGAAACCATCAGTGGAGTGAAAACCCAGCCTTTGGGTGGGAGAAAGGTTTCTCAGCTCCACACCAGACAGAAAATCAGTACCAGGAATGTGTCTTTTTAAAACTGCAAAATTTAAACATCAAAAAATCCCAAACTGCTGACCAATAAATAAGCCAATGAAATAAATAGTTCTCAAAAGAAGATCTACAAGTAGATAACAAATATTCTAAAAATTATTCAACATCTTTAACTGCTGTGGAAATGCAGATTAAAACTACTTTAAGATCCCACCTCACTACAAGTCAGAAAAGCTATAATCAAAGGACAAAATCTGGAGGGAAAAGAACTCTGATGGCGCCCTCACATGTCCAGGCTGTACTCCCATCCCACTGTAACAAAAGCAGCATGGTGCTGCCATAACAGACCAACAGATGAAGGAACAGCCTAGGGTAGCCACATAGAAATGAGACAGTTCCAGCTCCCAACCTTTGACAAAAACATCAAAATACAGACTAGAGAAAAGACACATTTGCAACAAAAGATGCTGGAAAACTGGATAGCTTCAGTAGAAAAATGAAACTAGAAGGGGCTGGAGAGATGGCTTGCGGTTTAGAGCCCTGTCTGCTCTTCCAAAGGACCTGGGTCCAATTCCCAGCAACCACATGGTGGCTTATAGCCATCTATAATGAGATCTGGTGCCTTCCTCTGCTGTGTAGGCATACATGCAGGCAGAATGCTGTATAAATAAATAAATCTTAAAAAAAAAAAAAAAAGGAATGAAACTAGATCCCTCTCACTCACGTGCGTAACAATCAACTCCAAATGACCTTAATGAAAACCTGACTGTTGGTATAATGTTCTTTTGAAATGTATACACCTTACCCTTGCTCATTCAAATGCCGATTTCTCCCCCTGCAACTCTCTGGTTTCAATCCGGACATTGCATTGTGATACTTATTCTAAGCATCCTGTCTCAACTTGGTGTAAACTTCCAAATAAAGCAACTAGACAAAATGTTGAGCTGGGAGGAGCCAGAGGACAGGAAAAAGGGGAGGAGCTAGAGGGCAGGAAATGAGTGGGAGGTGAAGGGAAGAGAGGAGAGCTTGGAGAGAGAGCTGGAGGAGAGATCTTGGAACTGCGTGGAGAAATAGATTGGACCTACGATATCACAAAAAGCAAGTATAATGTGGGAAATCTAAATGTTAGGAAACTATGAGGGCTTGGAGGTTTAGGATGGAGTCTTTGTGTTCTAGGTTAACTAAATAAACCCAGTCTCTGTGTGGTGATTTGGTTATACAGCTGATTAGGATTAACAACAGCAGTACCGGAAGATAAATCAATAGTAAATATTAAATGCCACCTACAACACCTGACTCTAAGATTGATAACGGGAGAAGTAGAAAAACACCTAAGATATCAGAATAAGCTAGCACTTTCTGAACAGGACTCCAGTCACTTGGAAACAGCACCAATAGACTTCCTGAAATTAAAAATCTTTTGTTTTATACAGCAAAACAATGGATAGAGAAAACAGACAGCCTACAGAACGAGAGATCTCTATTAGCTATACACCTGACAGATGAGTCGTATGTAGAATACACAAAGAACAAATAGCCAATAAATATAGGGGAAAACAGGGAAATGCAAAAAAACAAAACAAAACAACAACAACAACAAAAAACCAGCACTGAGATTCTACTTTGCTCTGGTTAGAATGGCAATCATCAGGACAAGAAACAGCAAATGCTGCTAAGGATGAGGATGAGGATGAAAGAGAAGCCCCATACACTGCTGGAGGGAGTATACACGAGTCCTGCCACTGTGGGCATTCCCTAACAACAAACACTAAAATATACTTATCATCTGTGCTGGATGGTTTCATGTCACCTTGACACAAGCTCAAGTCATCTGGGAGGAGGGAGCCTCAATTAAGAAAATGTCTCCATAATATCAGGCTGCAGGCAAGTCTATACAGCATTTTCTTAATTTGTGATTGGTGGGGGATGTCCAGCTCATTACGGATGGTGCCCCCCCTGGGCTGGTGGTCCTGGGTTCTGTAAGAAAGCAGGCTGAGCAAGCCTCCTCCTTGGCCATAAACTCCTGCCCTGCTTGAGTTCCTATCCTGATTTCCTTTCATGATGAACACTGATATGGAAATGTAAGTCAAATAAACCCATTCCTCCCCAACTTGCTTTTGGTCATGGTGTTTTATCACAGCAGTAGAAACCCTAAGACACCATGTGACCCAACTTAGTGTTTACCCAAAAATCTCCAAGTAAACACATTACAGACACTTCATATCAGTTACTGTAGTATATGCACAACATCTATGTGATGGAACCATCCCAGGTGTCCAGCAACAGATGAATGGATAAATAAGTATGGTTTATATGAACACTGTATATTTTCAACACAAACAACAAGTCATGTCATTTGTAGGAAAATGGGTGCATCTGGAGAGCATCACATTAAGCAAATTAAGTCTTGGAAAGACAAATATTGCATGTTTTCTCTTATTCCTGGGTTCTAGACTTAGAGAGCTGCATAAAATCATGACAGAAGAGTAGAAGCAAACTGTCCCAGGCAGTGAGGTATGGGCTGTACTCACAGTGTTTTATGTACTTGCATAAAATTTTTGGTATAACCCAGCACACAACTCAAGCGAGCTATTCAGAGGATGTTACACATCATTACACTCAACTCCCAATGCATTCCTCCTAGTCACAGTCAAACTTCAGGCCCTCATCAATCATCTCCTGGGGTCTGCTCCATTGGGATTTGCTTATTTTTAGAGCAACAACTGAAAACCACACTTGAACTTCTCTTAATGTAAACTAAGCAAATTGAGTGAGGTCTAGTTCACTGACAGAAGGGCTGGGAAGGAGGTGCTTGCCCCCATCTACGCACAGAATGAGGACTAGGCCTGGGAACCTAGGATAGAAAGGTCCTTGTGACAGCAATGGTGTGTGTGTAGAGCTTCATTACTTACACAAGTGGGAACTCCCTGTACATGTTTATGTACTAAAAGAGCTGATCTCCTGTTTGGATGCCAAGGGCCAGTATCGTAACTCCAGGTTCTTTCTTTCCATCCATCCATGTGTGTGTATTATGAAAGCCAAAGCTTATTAACATACCTTGGGTCAAGAAGACTCCTCAAAAATTTGAAAAGCAAAACCTGGTTCTGAATAGAAAAGTAAAAAGTACAATTAAATACTGAATTTCCAAAATTGTAAAATGCTAAAGCACTGTTCTAGACAGCCCCTTCTAAATGTAGGCGCTGGTGCTTCCACGAAGCCTTGTACGCACCTCAGCACTGAAGATCCCAACAGTGCCAATCACTTTCACTTGAATGCAGAAGGATACATACACCCTGTTACCTCACAGGAAAACTCTTCCCAGGCAAGCTGGCCCCAGCACAAGGAACTCCAGTGACCAGGACTTGGAGTTGTGTTGCTGACAGGGAACCTGGGCTGCAGAGACAACCTCAGCCTGAGTCACCTGTCCTTTGCCTCTCACAAAGGCCTGCTGTGAGTTGGTTAATGGTGGGGAGAATTAAAAAAAATATATATTTTAGGCCCAAATTAACAACTACCTCTAAAACCCACTCATCATCTCTGCAACAGAATCAACCACAACCAGAAAGTGTCAGCCACCAGCACACCATAACATCTAGATTCTCTTTCCAACGTTCATTAACTGTCTGACCATGTGACTCTTAGGGTTCAGTTTCCTTATGTGGAAACAAAACAAAACAACTTCACTTCAGCAACCCCCAGCTGTCTCTCCCCTGCCTTTGTTGTAGAGTAGTGACAATTAAATGAGATAAAACTTCTTATACCACATAAATATAGTTTCAAAGTTCTTAAGAAGCCTAAGCAAAAATAAAGTTGTTTTTTTTTTTAATTTTTCTATAATCTGTGAATGAGCTCATCTACAAGTGAGCAAAATCAGTAAGAAGCGAACTTCCTTGATAGATAATCCCTCGACTTCTCAGTCTCTTGGTAAATTCAGCATCAACTGCATGGAGGATCTAACTCATGAGCTCTATACATTTGGAAAACACTTCAAGGAAGCAAATGACTTCCTGTGGCCTTCAAACTGTCTTCTCCACGAGGTGGAATGAAGAAAAAGACACTCACTTTGTGGAAGGTGGAGATGCTGGCACCAGGGAAGACCAGATGAAGAGGCTTATTAGATGGAAGAACTAAGGTGTCGCCAAGTATTTCTATGGTATTTTTGTAATCTGGTCAGTTAACAAGCAGTCACAGTTTGGCAGGTTGAAAAAAATTTTTTTCTATGATTCAAACTTTTTCTGTTTCAAGCAGGGGGCATCCAAAATAAAAAGAATAGTATCATGCTGAATACAAATTTTATTATTTGTTTGTTTGTTTGTTTTTCAAGACAGGGTTTCTCATGGGTAGCCCCAGCTGTTCTGGAATCACTCTGTAGACCAGGTTGACCTTGAACTCACAGAGATCTGTTTGTCTCTGTCTTCTGAGTGCTGGGATTAAAGGTATATGCCACCATTTGCCTGGCTGATACAAATTTTAAATCTATATATGGCTAGGGATAAAGCAGAGATAAAATCCTTGCCTAGCATGCACAAGACCTAAGGCTTGATCTCACACTGAAAACACACACAAACACACACACTCATGTGTATATATACAAACACATATGAAAGTATAGAAAAACATACTAGTTTTCCTTTTTTAAAGACTGACCCATATACAGCCATTAGCCTCCATATCTTGTCTTCTGTATGTTGCTTTATTTTGTTTTACATAAATTTCCTCCTGGTTATAACTTAATGTTCATTCCAGGGGTCCTGGGAACTATTCTTCAAGAGCAAATTGCTCTAAAAGTAAAGCAACTGCATAAGATCTGTGTGGGGTTTATACCATCATTAAATCTTGGCAAAATACAGTTTCTTTAAAAGAACTATGTAGAATTCAACAAGTACTCAAACCACCATCAAATAGTCACCTTTTTCTTATCCATTACACCAACTTTTATTTATTTGATTGATCAATGATATTTATTCAATGGTTCTCTCTCTCTCTCTCTCTCTCTCTCTCTCTTAGTAGGATTGGGGTGGACATGAGGGTGCAGTCCTGTCATTGTTAATTTTACATTTTAAAGCCAATCCCAGAAGCACCAGAACAAGATCCAGTGGTTTTTAAAGAGCAGAGAGGCTCTGGCTTGAAGTAGTGTGAGCAGAAGCATTGCTGCCTCCTTGACAGCCTGGCCATGTGCCCTTCCCTGGGCCCAGCATCATTCCAGACCAGCTATCACCCATAGCCTGGTCCTTCCCTGAGCTCCAGCACCATTTTAGCCTAGTTATTCTGCAGCTGCTATTTGCTTGGTTTGTCTTTGTTCTTGTGAGCAGAGGTCACATGTAAGTTTCCATGTCTATTTTTTTATGTCATCCTCTGCATTTGCTGGCCCCACGGCATTAACACTGATTGGATTAATGGCCACTCATTAATTCTCTGAGCTAGTTAGCAGATTTTACATTGGATAATCTAGGAACCATTTAAAATTTCCCACCATCCTGAGCTACTTTCAAGTACACAAACTCATCTGGAACCTATCTCCTCCACTGCCACTGGCTTTGTTCAGGTTACCTCCTTTTTGCCTTTCAAGTGGTTATGGCTCCACTTGTGCTCTCTGCCTGAGTTAACTTTCCATAAAGTAAATCAAATGATGTCAACCTTTGCTTAAAACACTGGTAATTCTCCAACACAGAGAAATTCAAATTTCTTGACGATACAATCGGCTCAAGCTCTGTCTATACTTTCTGGGCTCTCTCACTGTAAAACCCTCCTAAAAACACTGCTTCTCATTGCACTGAAGCTGCTTCCCCCGCCACACCTACTACCTCATGCTCTCTACAGATGTGTCCATCCTCTGAACACCAGAGCCTTTACGCCTTTCCATGCCAGAGCTTTTTTATCAAAAAAGCCTTTCCCAGTTCTGTCTGCAAATCTGACACCCGCCCTAGTTCTGGCAGCTCCGGAAGCTGCTTTCTCACCCCTCACCACCCGTCACTGTCCTCTTGTTCTCATGGTCCCTCTTACACATCTGCAGTACAGCTTGACAGCACTGTACTACGTTCCGTAGTGTCTCTGTGCTCCCTGGAGCCTGACACCAACTGTCCCTCAGTATCGAGTGGGGCCACACAGGTTTAATGAATGAACTCCATGTTTGCCTCACGTCACTCCCTACTTTTATTTTGCCATTCTGCAGTCATTCCCTGCCACTGCTGTTGCATTTGAGGACTGTGGGTGCTTCATGCCCCTCATGTTGTCCTACTGCCTAGCTGTCTCTTCTGGGCATCTACGGAAATACGCCAACTCACTACTGGCACCGTGGCAGTAAACAGGGAGGAGCAGGAGCTCCTCACATAGCACTCCTAGAGCCTCTCAGCATTCACCATGCCTGCAGACATGTCTCCAGAAGCTGATCCTTGAACTATTCTAAAGTGTTTCCACTGGCTCAAGCAGAGGCTGACAAAGTTCTGCATAAGTAAGAAGAGCCATCAACAGAAGAGGGTTATGGGTCCTATAGCCAAAGAGAAACAGGAAGCTCTTCTACGGGTTGTGATTTCTAGAGCAGTGTGGCTAAGAGCTTCAGTGATGTTCCTTTAGTGTCAGTATTTCTCATCTGAAAATAAACCCCGTCATTTTAATACTCAGAGTAGTACACAGCTGCTCCCGTCCGCAGACCCTACCACACAGACACAGGACACACACACAGTACATACATCACACATACAACACCAATGCACACATCTAACCCACACACTCGGAGGTCCTCAGACCCAGATGTCCTTCCATCACACGCTCACACCCTTACCTGAAGCTGTCCCATGACGACTTCAATCTGTCCTGAGAAGTGAGTGGCAACCAGCTCTGCAGCTTTACAGGGCTTCAGGCACACCAGTTCCTGCCATCGGTGAAAAGACAAGGCTGTTTCCACACGTACACTTAATGGGCTCCTCACAGATAAGAGGCTCCATACTGTCTTCAAGAGGCCCTGCTTTGGGCCTTAATTTAAGGCCAATTGGCTAATTTGCCAATTAGCAAAGGCAGAATGGTCTCATACTGTAAACCAGAATTTTTTTTTTAAACTACTCTAGCATTTCTAGACAGTGAAAGCTTTCTAGAATTCTAGATTCTGGCCATTGGAGCTCTAGGTAAAGAGAGGAGTAAAGGCTCCTGGAATTCCTTGTCAAAGAGTTTCATGCTCGAGCTTCAGGAAATGAGAAAGGGTCCCGTTATGATTTTAGTTAAATCCTAGCTTCACCATGCTGCAGGATGAACTTACAAACCAGATATCTTTGACAAAAGAGCCTTCAAGTCTTGAGGAAAGCAAAGTCTTAACCATTGTTGTTACCTGTTTAAAATAAGTTCCATGTCTATCAGATCTAAGATTATGCTTCCAGGTACTCTTACTGAAATACTCCTTTCTGCAATTCTCTCACCTATTCTGCCTGCACTGGTTAGTTTTTATCATCAATTTGACACAAACTGGAGTCATCTGGAGAGAGGGAGCCCCAGCTGAAGAACCACTTAGGGCTAATCTCTGGCTTGTCACGGGGCAGTGTTTTACAACTGATGACTACTGTGGAGGGACCCCGGCCAGCCTGGGTGGCATAGTAGACAGACAGGTAGGCCTGGGCTGTAGAAGAAAGCTAGCTGAGGTGATAGAGATATGGCTCAGCAATTAAAAACACTGGCTGCTCTTCCAGAGGACCTAGTTTTAATTCCAAGCACCCACATGACAGCTCAGAGCCATCTCTAAGTTGAGTGACAAAGGATCTGATGACCTCTTTTGGCCTCTGCATATAGACAGAAATTAAGGATATATCTCAAAAAAAGAAGGGAAGGAAAGAAAGAAGGAGGGAAGCAATAAAGGAAAGGAGGAAGAAAGCAATGAACCAGAGTCTGACAGCCAGTAAGCAGCATTCCTCCATGGTCTCTGTTCAGATCCTGATAACAGGTTCCCGCCCTGAACCCCTGCCCCGCTTTCCCTCAATAATGATCTGGTCTGGACTGCGATCTGGATGTGTGAGATTAAATCAGCCCTTTCCTCACCGAGTTACTCTGGTTGTAGTGTTTATCACAGAGGCAGAAAACAGCTAGAACACTGCCTTTTAATTTGTGCCTTTCTGAGGGGAAACACTATCCAAATACAGCCATTAAACATAGATATATGCAAAGACCAAGTATAGAACAGCACAGTATACTGATTCCACAGTAACAGATTCCAGTGAGAATTAATAAGAAAATTCAAAAGAATGAGGCAAATTGGTGGTGGCACATGCTCTTAAGCCCAGTGCTCAGGAAGCAGAGGCAGGTGAATCTCAGTGAGTTCCAGGATAGCCAAGGCTACACAGAGAAACCCAGTCTCAAAAAACCAAAAAAAGAATGATCATAAGGATGTTCAATGAAGTCAAAGCACAGAAATTCTTGAACTCAAAAACAATACAAGTAAAGAGCTGAATGAAACAAGGAAGACGGTCCAAAAAAGAAACAAGGAATGAGGAATTCACTGTGATAAATACTTATATCAAATAAATATTTTAGAAATGAAAAGCTTAACAAATCAAATTTTAAAAGCTATTAGAAAGCCTCAGAAATAGATCAAGTTGAAGACAATTTCAGGGCCTGAAGATAGGGGAGTTGATTTAAAACATTCAGACAGTAATTAAAATAACAAAATAGGCATAGCACATGATAGAGGGGGGCACCAGAGCGATGGCTCCACAGTGAGGAGCACTGTTGCTCTTGCAGAGAACTGGATTCAGTCCCCAGCACCCACGTGGTGCTCACAACTACATGTAACTACAGCTCCAGCGGATCTTGGGCCTTCTTCTGACCTCTGTGAAAACCAGGCATGCACAAGGCACACTCATATGCATGCAAGCAAAATGTTCATATATATAACATAAAATAAATCTTAAAAATATATTTAATTAGAGTAGAAATTTCTGAACTCTAGGGACAAGGATAGCTATCCCCATACAGAAAACATCCAGAATACCAAACAGGTTAAGACCAGAAAAGGACTTCACCAAATCACATTCTAGCACCGTGAACAGAGTACTGGAAATCCCAAGATATGAGTATCAAGGTCATAAATAAAGGCAGAGAGGACAGTGAGTGATATGTTCCATGTTCTGAAACAATAACTGCCAACCAACATTACTATTTCCAGAAAAGCCTTTCTTGATGACTGAAGACTAACCTTCACTGTCAACTTTCTTCATGACTGAAGA